GAGGGAGCTCTGTAGATTTATTGCCAGAATAATATACTGCTGATGTTGCAAGATTTTTCAGCTGTGCTTAATGTAAGTGCTAGAAGAGATTTCTCACCTGTGTTGCATTATGAGTTTAATACCGTGAGTGTGTGTGCAAGAACACCTCATAGAGCAGGACCAGTTCATGGTTTAACATCTAGTGTAATGAGGTCCAATAAAATCATGTTAAAAGGATGTTAATGTTGCAAAGGAAAACATCAGAAGCAAGGAAATGCCAGAATTAATATGGCCTGTGGAAATCCAGTCTCTTATGCATTATGGAGCAGCTCCTATTACATGACATAGTAGGCTTTGCAGGGGATGCCTCCTTTTTTCAGTGAATGTGTAGTTAGATTTTTCTTTTTTACATTCCTCAATCTATATTTGTTAAACGTGAAGCATTCAAAGTCCATCCTTAATATAAAATCATTCTTCATATAAATATTTCTCATATATCTTAGTCAAAGTTCTTCAGTGTTTAACAAATGTGTCTCTCTTTCACAGCACCCTTACAGTACCAGACACTTCTAACAGTGTTCATATTTGAAATCTGATGAACCAAGGCAGAGATGAAGACAGAAATTGTATAAAATGTTGACTGTTTTTCCCCCATTTGAGTAAAATCAGACCTTCGTTTTTGGTGGATAAACATAACGTTTGTACACCATCTTGTTAAGTTCAAAGTACAGTTTCCCAGCTTGGGCCATTAAGTAGGTCTGTAGTGCAGCTGGTGTAGCAGAACCAGCCTATTACGCTGGGCAGACTGGTCACTGAAGACTTTACTGGTGAGTTTCACAGGTACCTGATGAATGCTCACGCTTGTGTTTATGGTGTTAGTCACAAATCTAATCAGAGGAGAGGAGAGCAGACTGTGCCGTGCTGTCCTATCCCAGCCAGCCCCAGTATTCTTCCACTCCCCACTTCTACGTCTGCCATGTTTTTTTCACTTGGCTTCTGCTGTCCTCTAATTTTGCTTCCTGCAGATCCCGTTCTTCTTTTGTCCCTCAATTTCTGTTCCCTCTCCCAGTTCCTAGTTTTCCTCTGTCCCTCCCCATTTTTGAGTCTGCAGGGTTTTTCCTGTTTCAGGGCATTGCCTGGGTGCCTGCACAGTGGAAGATGGGACCGACAAAGCAAAGAGGGACAGTTTCGCTAACTTCAGTCCCTTTCCTGATGTCATGGGGGCTCCTGGCACCCAGGAGAAGTACTCTTCAGTCTTACTCAGCATCAGCATCTTTGAGATGGAGAGTATTCAGTGCAGATAGGGTCTTCAAAAATTCAGAAGCCAGACTACAACAGGAGTCCACTAATGGTGTGAAAACAGGGCTTTTAGAAACTTACAGACTGAAACAAATTTGGGCACCATTTCACAGAGATGGTGATTCCTGGGTACCGGTACACCTTGGACTTCCCCTGCTTCCAGTTTTGGGATTCTATCTCCAAACTTTCAGGCAGTAAAGCCACTCAGCAGCATAGTGCCGTGGCTTTTAAAATATGAACACAACAGCATGTTTTCTCAAAAATTTGGATTTAAGAGTTTTTAGCTGAAACATTTCAAACGTTTTGTAGTAGGCAGCCAGGGTAGGAGGTTTCAGCACAGTTTGACAAAATTCAAACCCAACTGAAACTGATACCTTACCACTCTTGTGAATGATTCTCAGCATGCATATAACTAAAATGGTGAGAAAACCTGTGTAAACAGAGGAGGGGGGCGGAGGGGAAGGAAAATAGAGCAAGAGTAAAGAAAAAGGTTCTTTTTATAGCATTTAACACATGAGAATGTAAATAAATGTGGTGTTAGTGAAAGTTAATTATTTTGAAAACAGTCAGCAAGGCAGATTAAGAGAAAAAAACAGTACAGCTGAAGACAAAGGAAACAATATTTAGTCTTTGATCAAAAGTTTTCACAGTGGTTTTCTGTTCACCTTCAAGGCTGGCGTAATTTTATGAATAACAAAATGTGTTTTGCTACTTGAGTAGCCTTAAAGAGAAATGGTGTTCATTCCATATGGCCACTTGAAAGAAAATCACATGCCTGTTCCTCCTTTAAGAAATAACATTTTTATTTATTAAATCCTTTCTCTGAAAGAAGGACCCTAAAGATACGCAATGAAGCGTGTATCAGACTTTAGTTTAGTCTCAGAGGAAAAGACAAGTCTATACCGTGTGCTTATGCTGCACATTTTCTCAGAGGGTGATCGTAGACAAACTGCATAATCTATATACCACACTGAAAACCTGAAATATTCTTATTTTAAAAAATATTTTATTTTCATTGTAATATTCTTGAATATAAAATACTTTTTTTTTTCCCCCCAAGTTTGTTGCATCTCACAGGAGGTGAGGTTTTTTTTGATACAATTGGTCCGTGGCTTTTCTGCTACTCCCTTGTAAGGTATACCAAAATTTGTGAGGTTTTTCGTGGTTTTTTTTTTTATGTTCACCACACAGGTAGAGCATGATTTTTCAGACATTTCAATTACTTTGTCATAGTGGTCAAAGCAAGATGCAGTAGTAGTGTAAGCAGGGGTAGGACAACTCATCCGTGAGTACCCAGCTATTGCTTAACTGGGCGAAGAACCACTTCTCATCCCTGCCCAGGAAAATCAGGTCTCTGAATATATTGTATACATTAAAAGTGCTCGGATAGCTTTAGTGTATGTTTGAATTAACTTTGGGCTTCTGTGGTAATTGCCCACCACAGGACCTGCCATCACTGTGCAAAATCAGGATGCTGGGATGTGCTGGGTGACTGTCAGATTCTCCAGCAACTGGTTGAAGTCAAGGGTTGAACTTTCCTGACGAGGAGAGTGAGATCCGAGCCTCAGTGCAAGTGTGGCAGACAGTGACACTGGTGGCAACCACAAAAATGGCAAGGGAATTGGAAAGGAATGTATAAAAGCCAGCAAATTTAACAGCAAGGAGATAGCAAAAATAGCCTGGAAGTGAGCGTATGCTAAAGGCACAAAGAAAAGGGAGCTTTACTAGGATTTAAATAAAATGCATTTGCATTTTTAATTAATTTTACTTATGTTATCATAATTTATATTTTTATACTATTATATTTTATAATTCTAAAATAATTATATTTTTAATTATTTTAAATTATACTTTATATGTAAAATGAAAAGATTCTTTTTCCGGCCAAGCCCCTCTGTAACTCAGGTGAGACAATCTGCTTCTGAAAAGACACACTTCCTCTCAAGGAAGGACTGTTTCAATTTCAGTGTCTTTGAATGATTTTGGATTTATTTTTTGAACAATTGCCTGTGATATCGACACTCAGTACCCTAATTTGAATGAATGTTTCTCTTGTTTGTATATTAATGCACACTGTGGGCATTTTCCTTGGTACTTGATCATGTGCTTGTATCTCAAGTATTTTACTATATTTTAAATCTAATGTTACTTTGATAACAGTGTGGTGAATATAAAACTATAGCAATGATGTTTGCATCTGAATGTATATGAGAGTGCCTGTGAGTTTACGTGAGCCTTCACTGTCTCCTGCTGAGACACCTCTCCATGGCACATTTTGACTACCAAGTCCATGAAGTAGCACAGCAGGAACAGTGAGGAAACAATCCAAGAGAAGGAAAATAGGTTGAAAAAAGTTCCATAGTAAAAACCAAGTGAAACATAATTAGAAGATCCTTTGTGTTTGTTACTTTTTTAGTGTTTCAGATGACACCTGTTACGATGATAAAGACATTTTTAAGTTAACGTCATGAGGAAATTTTCATTATGACTACTGGAAACTGATTTCTATGAATAACCATATATGCAACCATATTGTTTTTTCAGTATCTAGAAGGCAAATGAAGAATAAAAATGACCGTCTATAGAACCATGCTTGTACTCAGACATCTATGAGTGATGTTGCATGGCATTCAGTTGAAGTATTTAGGAAAAATACTTAGCCTTAGCCCAATTCTTTTTCTTTGGGAGTTAGTGAGTTTTTTTGCCAGTGACTTCAATAGAGTTGAGTCACAGTCACAATTTTTTTTTCTGAAATGCTTTTAAAGTAGCAAAAAAGTATAGAAGAATCTCTGGATGCAAGGTATTTCCAAAAACTGTCATGGAACACTTTCTGGTTGTAATGGGAATGTTCTTTCTATTGTGTCAGTCACATCAAGTGAGTCTGAGTGACTGCGATGTTTCTAAGTGGCTTTAAAAATGGAGTTTTAAAACCTCCCACACAGCTCTGGATTCTGCATTAGCAGACAAGCAAGTAAAATGTTTTTTTCTCTGCTGAAAGTACAAAAAATTTAGATTGCCAGAAGGTACGATCAGATTTTTACAGGAAATCTTGAGGATCCCAAGGAGATACCTAGTGTGCAAGAGAACAGTTTTCTATTTTTATTTGAAAGTGGTGGATTTTTTCACCTTTAATTAGCTAACAGCAATGCATTGCAACGATTAATATGGAAGTCGAAATACCTTTTATGTAATTACATATTGCAAATATGTGTGGAAATGGTGTACGTGTTCTTTGATGCGTTAGGAAAATACAGTTAACATACAGTTAGCAGATTTACAAAATGAAAATTAGCTTATTAATTATTTAGCTAACGCTGTGCTTTGCCCCAGAATCTGGTCTTTATTATTTTGAGCCTTAGCAGGAAACAGAAGTAGCATCAATTGGGGAAACATTTCTTTACTGAGCTGAGAACAGTATGGCTTTCTCGTTTCGAAGTGGGGAACCTGGCTCTTTGCTTCCTTTGTTCCCAGTTAGACTACTCCCAAGCTATTTTAGCCGAACATTTTACATAGTAATGGAGCCTGGGGAAGTGCAGTTGGCAACTGTTCATGGGATAATAATGAAACACACTGTTTAGTCCTGCACGCTGCTGCTGTAAAATGCAGGAAGTATTTTATAGAGATCATGGTGAGCAGAGCTGGATCCACTTTAAGTGCATGAACCGTGAGCGAGGAAGTAGTGTTTTACCTGAGAGTAACTGTCACTCCTTTTGCTTTTGCAGGTAAAGAAACCGTGTACAGAGTCAGATGGTTCAGAGCCGCAGAATCCCAGGTACAGTCCCGCAGGGCAAACGCCGACTGGCCGCAGCGCAGTGGCGGGGCAGGAGGTGGAGCTGGGCCACTCACACGTAGCATCACAGCACGAGAGACCTGTTTTGCAAAGAGCGGATGATTGGATTAATTTTAATGGTTTTCACTCTGGAAGAGGTTTTTTCCCTTTTCCCAGTTAAAGATGCTGGCTAGCATCTAGGTTGTTGAGGTTAGACGGTGCCATAATGTTGAGTTCTCATCCTCAATTAAAAAAAAAAATAATCCTATTAAATAGTGTAGGTAAATCTGTGTAATCAAACGTCACTTTCTTTGTCTGTCCTTTTTCTGCATACCTGAGTCTTGGAGTTCACTCATAATATAGTCTATTTGGGAAAATCCACCTTTATCAAAACTTTCTTTTCACTTATACAAAACATGCTGCTGTGTCCTAAGTAGAGAAGAGGCCATACATTCTTTATAAAGAGACTTTTCCAATTAGTCTGCTAATTTCATGTACACGGAAAAATGGATTTGATTTACATGTTTTGCACATATATGTACATGCATGTGTAAGCTTGAGCAGGTGAAGTAGTGATTGTTTCAGATGTGCCATCAAGTGTGCATCTTCCTGTTGATTAGTAAGCTGTTGAGAAGCAGTGGATGATTTTCTTTTCAAGTTTTGTGGTTTGAAGTGCTTTTGTCTTTGTCTTGCTTCGGTTTAGAAGACCTATTTCAGTTTCACAAAAACTTCACAGAAACTTTAATTGGGAGGGGAGATCCACAAAACAAACCTGATGTCACACTAATATTGTGATTAAAACTCAGAAAAGCAAAGGTTGCCCCCAAATCCCATCCTTAGCTATGTCATTGTGCCACTGTTGCAGCAGGATCCTCTGAGGGTCAACCTGCAGTATCCAAGGTCAATATAATATCTGTGGCTTGAGCTGTGCTGTGCACTGTCTGGATTGCTTTGATTAGCTTTTCATGTCAGTTCTTAATACATCCTTTCATTTATTTGGTAAGAACTGAGTGTATGTAAGGGAATACAGAACTCAGTGTCCAAATATCCTTCCAGCTAAGTCAGTAGCTGTTTTGCCCTGGACTTTAGTGGAAGCATGTTTTGCCCCAGTCCTCATTTAAGAACTTCTGAATGAAAAACGTATCTGCTGTGCTGCTGCTTTGGATTAAAATTCATTATAAAGGTCAAGCTCTTTCCAAGTACTTTGGTGGCATGGAGAATCCCAATTTAGCAAAACCCTTCTGCATGTGCATAGTTTTGGGTGTCTTGCTTGTCCAAATGAGACTGTTATATCTCAAGTCTTTAAAAATATAAAAATATAAAGAAATAAAAATTTATAAAAATATAAAGAAGTCTATAGTCTGATGTAGTTTCATCAGACTGTGATATCGCAGCAAACCTGAGGACCCAGAATCCGATGTACGGTCATTCCGTGTGCACATCAGGAGATTTATTATGCGCTGTAGCTAAATTCTTTGTACCGAATCTGAGGAACAGGATCATTTTTTTCCTCCCAAATGCAAAAGGGAACCCATGTTACAAGTAGTCAATGTGGAGGCTAAATCTGGTGCAGTTTGGATTTTTTTTAAGGCGCGTTTTCGAACAAAACTGCTTTTCATTTCGAGCTCCACAGCCTGAGTTTGAGGACAGATCAGACACGGTTGGGATTAGTGTTGCTGGCCTGAGCGTGTGCAGGGCTGTGTATACAGCCTGAAGCCGGATTTTTTTGGTCAGATCCCGATTCGCGATGCGACTCTGGTCTCACAGGGGACTCTCTTGGTGGCCTTTGGCTGGAGCAGCACTAGAGGGCCCCGCGCCCCACGTAGGACTCGAAAGCCTGGAGCAAGGTAATTCTTCTCTAAACAAGGCTTAAGTGAAAACATTGCACGTAAAATGAAACATCAGCATAAAAACGAATGCTGGAGACACACAGCCTTACAGAATAGCTCCTGGCTTGGAACCTAAGGCCAATATCATTCATTTATTTAGCTAGCTTTATAGTCTGTTGGTTTTGGATTTGAAACTATTGCAATAAATGCAGATGGAAAGTGTTTTTACAGTAGGGAAGTAATTAAATTGGGTGTGGGAACTTTGTCAGGAGAATTCTTGGAGTGACATGTGTGTATCAGCAGATTCTTTGTCTTGCTTGGCCGTGGTTTGTCTTTTAGAAAGAAACATTCGAACTGCAGATGTGACTAGTAAATATTTTTTTAAGGGAATTTACTAACCTATGCAGCATATCAAAAAATGCCTTCCAAAAGCATCCAGCTATACATGAGGTAAAAATCAACCATTGCCAGCATGCATTTATAGAAAATGGTTGTGATCTTGACAGACAGGTAAACTGCACAGAGAGGGAGGGAAGTGTAGCAAAGAATTGAAGTCGTGATGGCTAGACGAGTTGTAAACCCAAAAGGAAACGTGTGACTCTTCAGTATCTCTGTCACAAATTTTGATTCACAAACAACTTTGTCTTACAAATTCTGTCAAAGTTTCTGCAGAGTTACTTTGCCAAATCCCTATGAACTGATTGTGAATATTTCCTTTTAGCCTCAACTGTTTAGATATTATACCTAAATGGTGGTATTATACCTAATCATGGCAGTGTTGTGGCTGTATCAATATTATGACTTGCTTTCTTCATAATTTTGTAATAAAAATCAAATTCACCGTGCAAGTCTGGATAGCCGTCCAGTCATGCAAAGTCATGGAAAGCGTGGAGCTGTTGGTGAGTCAGACAGAGGCAGTAAATGTTTGAGACTTGCCACCCATTGTACTGCAGGTCTGGAGGAGACAGGAATAACCTGCATGGGTGACAACTCCGGCACGCTGGTCCTGTATCAACTTCACTAGCAAGTTTAGGAAAAGAAGTTCCCATGTTCAGAGCCTATAAATATACATTGCTCTTAATTTTCCTATATGGTAGGTGTGTTTTAAAATGGTACCAATCCTGAGTATGCTGAACAGCTCCTACTTTAAATTTAATGTCATCTAAGAATTGCTGAAGTCTAGTGCAGTGCATGAAAGTTAACTTGTTTGCAGTTATTAATGAGCTCCCTTTTTACATAGCTAATCAGATAAGCCATTTTAGTTCTGATAAGGGAGCATTTTATTGCCTTAAAACTTGTAAACTACGTTTACAGCCTCATACCCCAAGACCTTGCTGCGGAAGTGAGTTAAACACTAGAATATGAGATGGATGAGGCTTTGGGTAGTGGAGGATTTCCCTGCTTATGGCAGGGGGGTTGGAATTGGATGATCTTTGAGGTCCCTTCCAACCCTAACCATTCTATGATTCTATGATTCTATGATTCTATAATATGTGTGATTCTGAAGCCTGGTAAAATTATAAATACCAAGTCCCAGACTCCCACTCCCACTCAGCTACAGCATGTTTGGTTTGGGCACACATCCCAGGGCAGCATCTTTATTTGAGACAATAGACTGCTTGATGAACACATCTCTGCTGCCTTCAAATTCTCCTTCCCGTCCTGCCAGAGATTTCACTTTAAGACCAAAGTCGCATCAGGAATTGAGATCTGACAACAAATGTTGGGTTTGATGGGCTATAGAATGAAATAAGGAGAAGAGAAATGAGGGAAGGGAGAGGAAGTCCCTGCAAATGGAAATTTAGCAGAGTCTTCTGCCACTTCCTCAAAGTCCATTGGTTATAGGAAAAAAATCATGCTTTTGTACCCTCTGGAGAGGATAGAAGAGTCTGCAGAAGAGTGAGGAGATTTTTCTGGCAGTTGACACAGTTTCTTTTTTTTCCTGGAAGGGTAAAGGAAAATGGCCATATGTTTAATATGCTTTTTCTCTTTAAACAATGATCTTTATACTGTGGAGATGATATCTATGGGGGAAAAAGGGAAAGCTTGAGGATTTTGACAAGTAGTTTTGTGAGCTGGGGATGAAAGTTAGCTGACAGATTAACTTGTGAAAATACATAGGGGTGTCAAAAAGACATTACTTGTGTATTTACAGAAGGGTAATGGGTCTTTGAATTGGTAAGCTCAAGCTAAGCCCTATGGAGTAAAAAAAAAGCCTTCCATTTTTGTTGCATAGCTTTTTTCTACAAACCTATATCTCCAGCTGTATCCAATCTTCCTGACTTGTCTTTTCATTTAGATATGTCTTTTTTTAAATTTCTAAAAACAAAAGAAAGGGAAAAGAAGCACTCTTAAGCAAGTCCTCCACTTTAAAACCTTATCAGATGCCGTAAGAAGAGTGTGATCAGGGGCATTATAGCAATTGCATTAGTACCAGCTAGACAAAGTTGTTTCATATATGTTGCTGAAATACAAATATACCAGTAATGGTCACTGGTAAATACTGAATCATATGTAGAGGCACAGTTGCCAGATAAACAGGCTGTCCAAAAAGGCACAGAGAAATTTTTTCATGTGTTTAAAAAAAGTCTCCAGTATTTCAATTTAATATGGGTTTCAGTGAAGCTCTTTGGCATAGATTGCAGTTGTTCATCAGATGGGTGCTCTTCTGTTCTTCCACACCCACACTTCTCAAAAGTGCACCACATCATAGTAAGATTTAAAAGATAGGAGTTCTTGTTTCTGTTTCTTCATCTTAAAAGTCTCTCTTAAAACTTCTGAATGGGAAATAGGCTTTCACATTTTCTTACTGGTCTCATTTTAATACCTGCTACATACTCACGTTTTATTGTGTCAGGATATAATGTGCATAGACATCTCGAGAGACAATTGCTGTCATTAATGCATTCACAGGTAAATAGATGGTATTGAATGCCAGTGAGAGCTATCACGCTTTTCACATTCGGTTCACTCAGCCAAGGTTTGTTTCCTCTGCAATCTGAGGGCACTGTTGTGAGTAAGATGTTCACTGTACTTACTGTACCTGAGCTGTGCTAATACTGCAATGAGTACATCACTAAACAGTGTTTCCATGGACACTCGTATATTTAACAAAAATGAAAAGGAGAAGAATGTATGTCTTCTGCACCTTATTCTGGACAATCAGATCATCAG